TTCAGCCTTCTGGTCATGGGGGGGGGGCGGTTTTTTTTTTTTTTTTTTTTTTGTCACGGCACATGTGCATTTGGTGCTGATGCTGAGCCAGAAGAAGTCCCTCTGGAGTTTGAAGCCCAATCAGAGCGCTTATTAGACTTCACCATCCCGTCTCTTGTTCACCATAGAGCTTCGACTCTCACACTCTCCCTGCTGCTTCTGAAAGAAAGATGGTACCGTGCACAGGGTGTCCCGTACGCGGACCAAAGGCGTCACTGATCCACCTGCTGCGGGACTAACCATGCCGTGTTACGCCAGGGTTCTGTTTTTACTTTTGTGTTTGATCCTTATCGGGGAGTGCAGGAAACACAAAAGTAGGAAAAAGCGATGGTCCGCGCCGGCTGAGACACACAAGGAAGGCAAGTAAGTATAGACTATCTTTATTTCATTTCATATGAATTCAACTGAGATGTGGCCGCTGACCTCCAGAGATCAACAATATCCAGCAGCAAAGTGAGGACAGTCACTCGTGCTTTCTCTATTGTTTCTCACAGAACTGACATTTATGCACAATTCTGTGAGAAAATTACAACGAGAGGCGGATTTCTCCCTCAATTCAAGTCTAAGAACATCCACATCGTCTACATTTGCATACGATCTGCACCGGTTTATACAAATGTCCAGTCCAAATCCATCTTCACTGAGGTTATGGTAATTAAATGAGCCGTCACACCGCGGTCACACTGCTACTGGGGGGTTCTGCTTGTCGGAACCAAACCGTGCGTAAAAGCAGTCAGAGCGCATCGATCCACTCAGTTCTCCCTCAGCCGCTGTTTACAGCAGCATAGAAAATCCGTCCCTCGGGGGACACAGCATGTTAGTTGTTGCTTCAGGTGAATACAGATTCTTTATTTGGATTGCTTTGCGGGTAACAGGAGCGACTCAGAGAGAAGGGGATTCTCATAAAGCGCTTTGTTTGGCTGGTATGTTTTCTATGGTTGTCCCACTTCTGTCATTTCTAACAACATCCTCCAGCAGCAGCTTCAGTTATGTCATATAAAGTGCGTGAATTTAGTGTTCTAGAAAAACTAGGTTTTCATCTTATTCTTCTCCCTGCTTAACAAATGATAAAAGACTTTATTGATTAAAGGGCTCTGCATGGAGCTGCTTATTCTCCTGATACATCTGACTGTTTTCTCCTGTAGTCATTTCTTTGCTAATATGGTCACTAAAATTTGGTCTCTCAGTTGGGTCCAGTTTGACCTCATCAATAGTTTCAAATGTTCTATTTAGATCTGGAACCAAATAATTTTTTTTGGCATTTTTGATTTAAAATAAATAATTAATCAAAGAAGTTCTAGTTGTTGCCAGTGCTGATTATTTTTTAATTAACCAAAAATTACTTCAACAGTACTAAAAAGGCAGTTCACCACAAGTTTTGAATCTCATTTTTACCATGAAACAAGACAGTGTAGATGACTTGCTGTCTACAAGTAAAATCATGAAAACTCATTCCATCTGGTCACCTGTACAGTGTTTTCTTTCATTAGGACGAGAAAAAAAACACTAGAAAACACAAGAATACATTTTAAGTTAATCATTTCCATATTTGTAATTTATGGGCCCCTACTCCTGCTAGCCTGGTCATTTCACTGTAAAGTATAAAGTATAGGTCTTGTTATTTTCTGTAGTTTCTATCAAATCCTATGTGCAGATTTGAATCAACAGTACATGTGTCCTACTACAAGCATTGTGTGTGTGTATCTAAAGCCTGATAGTTCTCAATCCTGGGTGCCATATACAGTGCCTTGCGAAAGTATTCGGCCCCCTTGAACTTTGCAACCTTTTGCCACATTTCAGGCTTCAAACATAAAGATATAAAACTGTAATTTTTTGTGAAGAATCAACAACAAGTGGGACACAATCATGAAGTGGAACGAAATTTATTGGATATTTCAAACGTTTTTAACAAATAAAAAAACTGTGATAGTCTCAGAGGTCCGTTTAAAGCGCAGAGAGCATCATGAAGAACAAGGAACACACCAGGCAGGTCCGAGATACTGTTGTGGAGAAGTTTAAAGCCGGATTTGGATACAAAAAGATTTCCCAAGCTTTAAACATCCCAAGGAGCACTGTGCAAGTGATAATATTGAAATGGAAGGAGTATCAGACCACTGCAAATCTACCAAGACCTGGCCGTCCCTCTAAACTTTCAGCTCATACAAGGAGAAGACTGATCAGAGATGCAGCCAAGAGGCCCATGATCACTCTGGATGCACTGCAGAGATCTACAGCTGAGGTGGGAGACTCTGTCCATAGGACAACAATCAGTCGTATACTGCACAAATCTGGCCTTTATGGAAGAGTGGCAAGAAGAAAGCCATTTCTTAAAGATATCCATAAAAAGTGTTGTTTAAAGTTTGCCACAAGCCACCTGGGAGACACACCAAACATGTGGAAGAAGGTGCTCTGGTCAGATGAAACCAAAATCGAACTTTTTGGCAACAATGCAAAACGTTATGTTTGGCGTAAAAGCAACACAGCTCATCACCCTGAACACACCATCCCCATTGTCAAACATGGTGGTGGCAGCATCGTGGTTTGGGCCTGCTTTTCTTCAGCAGGGACCGGGAAGATGGTTAAAATTGATGGGAAGATGGATGGAGCCAAATACAGGACCATTCTGGAAGGAAACCTGATGGAGTCTGCAAAAGACCTGAGACTGGGGCGGAGATTTGTCTTCCAACAAGACAATGATTCAAAACATAAAGCAAAATCTACAATGGAATGGTTCAAAACTAAACATATCCAGGTGTTAGAATGGCCAAGTCAAAGTCCAGACCTGAATCCAATTGAGAATCTGTGGAAAGAACTGAAAACTGCTGTTCACAAATGCTCTCCATCCAACCTCACTGAGCTTGAGCTGTTTTGCAAGGAGGAATGGGCAAAAATTTCCGTCTCTCGATGTGCAAAACTGATAGAGACATACCCCAAGCGACTTACAGCTGTAATCGCAGCAAAAGGTGGCGCTACAAAGTATTAACTTAAGGGGGCTGAATAATTTTGCACGCCCAATTTTTCAGTTTTTTATTTGTTAAAAACGTTTGAAATATCCAATAAATTTCGTTCCACTTCATGATTGTGTCCCACTTGTTGTTGATTCTTCACAAAAAATTACAGTTTTATATCTTTATGTTTAAAGCCTGAAATGTGGCAAAAGGTCGCAAAGTTCAAGGGGGCCGAATACTTTCGCAAGGCACTGTATCTCTGTTGTTGTCAAGAAACAATTAAAAACACATCAGTGAGCCACACTGTTGCACTGGGCATGTACCTTCATTACCATGGACACACAAACTGTAGTATGTTTTTAAGCAGCTCCACATACACTGTCCTGCTGCAAGAAGTATTCACTAGAACATCAAGTGTGAATTAATCTGCCAGTGAAAACAGTCTGAAACAAATGCACTTTCCTCCTGTTTGAGTAACCACAGTGACCATTTTTAGTAAATTACTGGAAAACAAAAGCCATACAGGGCAGGGAAGTCTGGCCCAGTATCCTAAGAAACACAATATGTGCATATTGGACAATTCTGCTCCTGATTTACATCCAATACCAATAAACATTTAATGCCAGTGTAGAAAGATGTGTATCCTTATGTAGAGGGGTGGAAAGTAAATTGCACCATGCTGTATAATCGAGCATGACATGGAATACTGCATTAGAATAATCTACAACATTTTCTGTGTAAGAACTGAAATGTGGTCATTGTTACAAATTTATAGGGGCTGAATTCCAATATGGCCTTTAAAAGAGATGATTAGCTATAGTTTATAAGGTAATTATGTTTTATTCTGATGTGCAAAAACTGAATGACAGGTAAAGATATGATTTGACTTCAAATGAAAATATGGGTTGAACATAATATATTGTGTGCCTTAGTTAAAAGAAAAAAGTGTGGCTTGTACTGTCTGAGACATAGTACAGCGAAATGTTTCACCTAAGAAACGTGTTGTGTCAAGGGCAACAGTTTTGTCATTAGATCCACCAAGAGATTTGGTTACATCTTCTGGTTTTGCTCAGAGATCTTTCCTTTCCTTCTGTAATTTGTAATTTCTGTAATTTCCTTTCTGTCATTTTCAAGCTAAATTCATACAGTATGTTGCCAGTGCCAGATCTTACAAACCAGACCCAATCAAAAATTTTGGATATTTTCATTTTCAGTAGAATAAGCAAAGATTAATTGTTTTTGTTCTAGAAGTATTTTGGTTGTAGACCAATGTTATTTGGCACCTGGGCAAATGTGATAAGATTGTAACATTTTGGGGTCAAGAAGCCAGGTTGTGCAGGTTGACACAGAAAACAAGTGCAACTGTTGTGATGCATGTTACATGATACTGGTGTGTGTTGTCCTAAAGGGTGTTGAGGTCACAAGCAGTGCTCCAAATCAAATGACAAGATACAAGATTTGTCCATGCCCTGTATAATGGCACATCTGGCACCTGTATCATCTGGACATCAATGTCTGCCTGAGGTTTCCAAAACTGTTGACTAATAAATCTGTTTAGCCACTTGACAATGACTTGATTAAGGTTTGGTTAGAGTTATGAAAAGATTAGAATTTGAGTTAAAGTAAACACTAGGTTAAGTTTAGGGAAAACAGTTTGCTTTGAGTTAAAGTTACCACCTAGTTAAGCCACAGTTGCAATAATAATAATGGTCCTCATAAATAATTGATGTTGTCCTGTTGGCCCCATCAAACCAGGACCTCCAGCATGCACTGGGGCAGTTTGCAGCCGAGTGTGAAGCGGCTGGGATGAGAATCAGCACCTCCAAATCCGAGGCCATTGTTCTCAGTCGGAAAAGGGTGGCTTGTTCCCTTCAGGTTGGTGGAGAGTTCCTGCCTCAAGTGGAGGAGTTCAAGTATCTTGGGGTCTTGTTCACGAGTGAGGGAAGGATGAAACGGGAGATTGACAGGCAGATCGGTGCAGCTTCTGCAGTAATGCGGTCGATGTACCGGTCCGTCGTGGTGAAGAA